TTTCATGCCCCTCAAACCATTCACATTGACAAGACATTTCTTTCAAAATAAGCACAGAAAAATTGGAAAGGAGAAAGGAAATATTTTCAAGAAACAGTACATACTGAGCCGGGGGTGTAAGGAATAAAGCCAGTTTTACTACGAGCAGGCTGAGACACTTGCATGAAACGGCGCATAAACGGGTCACTTGACAGGTACAGATTCTTAACCAGCACTCCATTTGATCCTTCTGGCACTTTCATGCTTATAGTGCTGTCTGTGCTGATGATCATATCTGATTCTTCAGGGAAATCACTAACATAATCTCTCAACAGCACCTGCTTGTTCTTCACTATCTCAACTTCTGCCATTGCTCAATTATTACTCTGCTACTGCTCAATATTTTAGTTAATGTGTTTCTTGCAAAGCTTTGCCTCCTTTATATACAGTATTTCAAAAGGAAGAGATATTGGGTGAGGCTAATCTTTTTGGAGGCAAGGCAAAAGCAACAATCAATTGATTCCAGGTCCTTGCAAGAAAAAATAGTTTAACTAGTCAAATAAGAATAGTCCAAGATGACATTAACATCATGCATGACCAAAAAAAAAGTAGCACAAATCATAAGTTAACAACTTGAAAAGAAAAAAAAACAAATGTGTTTGTCTTTCATCAAATCAACGTCATTTATGCCATCATCTTCATCCAACGCATCTACACTAGACAATCTTGCTTTAGTAATCATAGTTGGCAATCCATTTTTCGTCAACATTCTTGGTAACCGATCTAGATTCTGTACAGTCACAATAGTGGGATTGCAGAGAACAGCTCATGGTGGAAGATGGATAATTTTGAATTTGGATGGCTAGGAGAAAAACAGCTAATCCAAACGCTAACATTTGTGATTTTAGTAAAGAGAAAATCATTTAAAGGTCCTTACATTTTGTCAAATGAATTTTTTCATCATTTACTTTCAAAATGGCAACTTTACATCCCCTATAAAATCAAGTCGATAAAATTTGGTTTTAATCTAAGTTTTTGACCACTTTTTACCTTGAATTTATCATGTAATCCACAGGTGGTCGCTTTTTTGAAGCAAAAACATTAGATCTCATCTATAGTTAAATAGAAGATGATCCGATCAATATTCATTTTTATCCCTAAAATAAGTAGAATTTGATCTAAACCATACTAATTTTTTTTCCTAAAAAAATGAGATCTGATACATTTTATATTCATTTTTGTTACAAAAACGTTGGGAGCCGACCTTTTTGTATATAAAAAATAATTGCATGTGGGTCATGTGGTGATTTCAGGCTAAAAAGTAGTTAAAAATTTAGATTGAGACTAAATTTTACTAACTTGAATTCATAAGAGACATAAAATTAACATTTTAAATGAAAAGACGAAAAAATTCATCTCGCAAAATGTGAGATTTTCTCTTTAGTAAATTTGCTGTATCAATATCTATATTGCAATTGGTCCTAAATCCCTTGGTACTTTAGCAACTAGTCAAACAGGTTCCTTCCAAATAGAGTTGTCGTCTCAATGCAACATATATGAATCATTACAAATTTGGAAATTAAGAAACTAAAGACTTGTCTGATAAAGTTGATCTTTGAAACATAACTAAACAAAATTGAATACTAAGAAACTAAAAGATTTGCTTGATAAAGTTGACCTTTCAGCATGATCCTAACTGAGATTATAGACATTATTCATGCCTGTTACAGATGCTCTTTCATAAATTTCGGCTCGCGTAAGGGGAGAAAATTGACCATACATATACATGTGTAACTTGGAGTTACGGAACTCTGAATATCCAAAACATGCATCATTTGGAGGTCTAGACTCTAGAGTGTCCGATGTACAGTATTTGCGGTTAAAGAATTGCAATGGACGACCAAAAAAAAAAGGTGTTTCTTCGAAAGTTAATCTTGGTTTGTCTCTGAGTTACTAGTAATAAGTCACCTGCTTTACACGTGATTATAGGGTCATAAAATATAATATCACTTATGCATATAAATATTTTTGTGAAATTTTATTGGTAACATCATAATTTAATATTTTCTTATTTTTATCTTCTTAATCAATTGTCTTAAAAATGTTATTTTAATTTGAAAGAGATAAATGTACATCTCAAGTGTGAGAGCACCAAATAGAGTTTATAAATACTTATAAAGTAAAGGTATAAACTATAATGTCAAAATCTAGAGGAACATTTGCGTCAATATATGAAATTCTCTAATAGTTATAAAATAAAGGTTTAAATAATAATACAATATTTAGAATTCATATATTTTCCAAACACTTGAAACTTCCTAGCTCAAAATTTTGGGATATACTCAGCCTTGAAAATTTTAAGAATTTATGCACCAATTATTGTAGTCTTTGATTTCAACTTTTGACATTAAACATTATCATGAGATATTAGGATTTATTAACTTGCTAACAAATAAATGGAGAAAAAAGTAGAGAAACGGAGGATGATAAAGTAACAAATAGTACTCGAGCTCTTTTTTTTTTTTTTTTTTTATCAGAACTTTCATCTTACTGTTCAATCCAATCCTCCACAACCAGGACTTAACCTATTTAATAATCAACATAAAAAACTTTTGAAAATTTTTTATCGTCGGTGAAACGGGGTCATACGAACAAGTAATGATTGGCCATAATAAGTCAGATGATCACAAAATTTAGACACGTAAACATGGGCTTTAATTTATAAATACTACAAAAATTGACCTATGCATAGCTTTCCATCATATTTAAGGTTATCTTGCTATGAGCTAGTAGTGGTCATTGGGTCCATCCTGATTTTCTGGTTTTGTAAGCAATAATTACGATGGATTGAGATTATCTCCCAATTAATAAAGCTCCTCAGCCACCCTCTCGTAATAATAAAAAATATATGTAAAATGTGACACTTGTTGTGTGATGCATTGGATGGTCGACACTTTCAGGGTTTTGACCGTTAATTTTATCCTCCATCATTCTCCCTAAATCTGATTTAATTCATTTTTCAAATAGCCACGCCAAAATCATTGACACAAAACACAAACGATAAAAGCCCCTTAGGACAAAGGGATTTGTGCAAGCATGGATTGGCCTTTTAGACGCCTCGGAAAGGTCATCTACCAGTAACAAATAGCAGAGTCACAAAGTGGGGCTATCCCCCAATGTAACTCCAATGTTTTAAGTTAACTATTAAGGTAGAATGTAACAAGCTCTAGAGTGAGTAATAGTAACTTTAAGAAAGATTTAGTTACCTTCAAAGGACGGAATAGGGGATATTGATAGGCAGAAAAATAGTACCAATTATTGGTATCCGATCCTCTTACGGTAGTCGACCTATCCCTATAGGACGACAGATGTCAATACGGCTGTTAAAGGTCATATCAAACAGTTTTTGTCCTATCAATCTTGTCCTACCAAACATTCAAGGCTTTGACTGTTACTTATCTCCACCATCATACTCCCTAAATTTGATTTAATTCATTTTTCAAATATCCATGCCTAAATCATTTACACAAAACACAAACGATAAAAACTCCTTAGGACAATGGGATCCGTGCAGGCATGGATTGGCCTTTTAGACATCTTGATAAGGTCACTCACTAGCAACAAAGAGCGGGGTCACAAAGCGAGGTTGTACCCTTGGTGTAACTCCGATGTTTAAATTAGCTATTGAAGTAGAAGATAAGGAACTCAAGAGTAAGGTAATGGTAAGTTTAAGAGACTCAGTCACCTTCAAAGGACGGCAGATGTTAGTTAAGCTGGCTAAAGATTATATCAAACAGTTTTTATCCTATTAATCTTGTCACATTATATTCAGACTGCCAGAAGCTCGAACTTCCCGAATGGCTAGAAAGGGAGAGAGCTGCAAAAAACGCTGCTCGCCAACTTGGAGCAAGCCAGGGAGGGTGTTCCAAGGTCCCACAGAATGCAAATAGACAAATTAGATTGGAGTGTTTTATTTTGTATTTATTGTCTTCATAATTCAAATTTAAGTAAAATTACAAATTTTTCCTGTTTAACTGCTGCATTTATTTATCATCATAACAATAAAATAAATCTAATAATTAGAGAGAAGGGTATTTTGGACATAATAAAAAATTAAGACCACATCCAACTTTCATGATCTACCTAGACCAACCGTACCTGCCCTACTTTTATAAGGAGTATAAATAGATATATATACTTATTGGGCTAATAATTTCTTCTTGTGCTTGGTCAAACTGAAACTCCAGTTTAACGTCAGTGCAATCAACAAAACCCAACTTAGGCTCATTTCATCTTGAGTTTGGTCAAAATCAAATTCCAAAAGGACATACTAACATCTATTATCATGCCAAATGTTATCACTTTAACCATGTTACACAAACTTATGCATACGCAGGATCCAAGTCAAGCAGCCAAGGCAAATTGCGCCTATATAATATTCCAAGAGGAGATATCATGTTGGCCCCAGATGTATAATGGCCTTGGCGTCGGGGCAGGTTGGGCGAAATTCTCAATCTCTGCAGCTAGAAATGCCTTGAGAAAGTTCTGGCTCTAATTGTGCTGGATACCGAATTAGGCACCCCAAGAACAGTCCTCACAAGCTTAGCATTCAATCAGAGAGGAGAAGGAAATTGCTACAGAAAGATCAAATTCATGACAGTGGAAGTGAAACCACGAAATGCTTTTGGTGATGCAAGAAAATGCCACCTAAAGTTTGTATGACCTAAATCCAAAACTTTCCATACCCCATACAAAATGACAACTAAAACTTGTGGATCCCTTTTTGTTCTTTTATTCAGTCAGGACATGTTTCTCTTGACAGAATTCTTTCACATAAACTGGGACTTATTAGCCAAGCACAAGCAGTAATAAACAACTTTAAAAATATAGTCTCTTGCCACTCAGTTCAAAATTTTCCCCTCCGAAAATAGCTCGCTTTTCCCAACAAATTCGGTCGATTTACAAGTAAGAGTATAAGCAAATTCCTGGTGGTTCAGATTCAGTATTTGGAACTTCACCAATCCGAAAGAATCTTTTAGCATGATATTAACCAGGTAACCAAAATATCCCTAAGCTGATTAACAAATTCATGCAAGCAATAGCCACATCTAAACATTCCTTTCTCCCCTGAATCAAAGTAGATTCAAATGAGCTAAAGAAGCCCTTAAAATACACTCTTTTCCACTAAATCTTCTATGCCAACTGGCCATAGCAGGTCAGCATGACAGTACAGGGGATACAGCAGTATTCATGGTTCAATATTTTCTCATCATGTCACTTGCAGATGTCTATACCAAAAGTCCGTCTATAAGGCCAACTACAACAGGAAATTTGTTTTCGAGGTACACCAGAAAGCAGTAAAGCAAGCCATATGTAATAAACAATCCTATCAACCATAGTAAGACTAGAGCTATGAAAATCTATTTCAAGAAAGGGAGCATAAAGGCCTTCAAATTGGCAAATGACACTTAAACAGGCCTAGAAACTGAGGATGAGATACTGCAAACATATGCAGACGTTGAAAAGAATCAGTCAGCTGTCCAGCTCTGCTCCAAATTTTCTCTCTTCCTGTAGATATATCAACAGTTAGTCTCGCTGAGCATGCTTAGAGCTTCAAATTTGTAGGACAATCAGGATATAGATCATGCAATAGAGACACGATGGATGAAAGTATTCCCATGACATTGTATAATAAACTGTGCTGATATTCTAGAATATTACAACATGTACTTCCGTCCGAAATCTGCGTAAGTACTTGGATAAAACATCTGAGAAAGAAATATCACAGTTGGGGGCTTATTTGGCTAATCCTCAAGCGAATTAATTCAACTAGGACATACCTTTGTTCAAAGGCATATCATCAGGAAAAGAATATCACAGCATTTCAGAGCATTCTATTATCTCCATGCTGCAGTCTCTTATAATCTCTCAGCAGCTTCTTCCTTGCTGAAATTGACATTGTAAACCATATGGAAGATGAGTGATGCGGTTGGCTTGGGCCTAGGATTTGCTTGAGGAAGAGGACTTGGGGACAGTTGAGGTAGCGAAGTTTCTAAGTAGATTCATGCTTTAGTATGGAAATTCTATGAGCTCTCAAATGAAAATGTTGCATGTTAGAATGAATATTGGAAAATTTGGAAAAGTTAAAGCATGGCTTAGATGGCAATTTTAATTTCAAGAAGACTACAGATCCACATTAGATAAGATTGATTATACCCCAAATCAGATACTTGTGAAGGGATGGAGTCGAAAATATGTCAGTTAAAATTCCTGCTAAAGCATACTACCTAAAACTGATAAATGAAAGGAAGTACAATACAAAATGCTTGCTCGACAACAATTCTTAGCAGATGCTACATACTTAATTGTTCAATAACAGCCTGGTAGCACTGTAGTTTCTTTGATCTCTGCAGTGTTGTAGATGCTACACTACTGAGCTTATTCACAAAACCATTCAACAGTAGAAAGTTCTGTCTCTCAGCGACAAAAGTTGAGTGACCTGATGAGGTCTCAAAATAGTTACTTTGTGCAGTAACTAGTGAAACTGTGTGACAGGTTTGCTATCCCAGGCCTCTCTAGCTTTAAGTAAATCTGGACAGTATCACTTTGCTAAAACTTCAACTTGATCAGCAAATGACCTGTTCCCACGATCACCTATATGAAGAACCATTTGATTCCAGTAATTCCGACATACATCTCCAGATCTGTGATGAAGAAGATTGGCCCAATCCACATCTTCAGTGCAGCTCGCATCCAACTGGAAAGTGCATCAATTAGGCAATAATCATCAGCATGAGCCCATAAACCTTCAGCCACTATAGACAATGTTAACCACTTGTACCATTTCATACAGCAATCTGCATCAGTTCGAGTGGATAATTTCTCGCTAATTGCGAACCAAGGAATATTCTCCTGCAACATGCCATGCTTGGATTTTTTTTTCTTCAGAATGCTTCATTTTCAGATCTGCGTTCACCAAATCAAATAGAACCTGGTACTCCTCCTGAGACCAGCATCCTCTCTTCAAATTTTTAACTCTTATTCAGTGCCAAACATCCTTCACGTGAATCCTATGTTTGCCAAGTTCATCAGCCAAAAGCTTCCATTGGTTCCCATGTTTCTCCTGGAACTCATGGACTGGTTTGATCTCTTCTTCAGTCCATTTACGTTTTTCCATCCCTTCAAAACAAAACTTGAGCATGATGTTAGATGGCACTCTGAGGCCGACTGCTAAGCAAGTTCCTATTTTCTTCCAGCAATTCCAGACTTCAGGGTACAATATGCAGTTCAAGACCATTTTCAAACCTTCTTCACCTAAGCAATGTGCCTCTATGTATCCAAGGACAGCTTCTTTCACAACCTCATCTTCTACTTTTGAAAACCCTTTGACCCTCACTAACCCATCATCAGATGAAGGGGCTGAAAAGCTTACTCTTCTCTGACTATTCTTTGGTTAGAATCTTCCGAACCATTATCCACCAATTTGGCACTTTTTTTCTTCCCTTTACTCCAGTTTTTCAAATCTGCAACCACTTCCTCCTTCCCAGTTGCATTAGCATACCCTTCTGGTTGCACTTCTGCCAGACAACCCTGCACAAAAGCACTTGAAACATCATTTTGCTTTTTCTCGTCTCTCTTCCTCTTCTACTTTTCTCGCTTCTGAACACTGTCCAATTCAGAGTCTTTGGCAAATGCTTCAAGTTTAACCCTTTCTCCACTTTGATTCTTGTTCTCCTGCATTTCATTTTCTGCCAAATAAGTTTCATCTTGTTGTGAAGCACTTGCATCCACCTCGAGTTTTTGCTTCTTTTTCTTCTTCTTTTTATCAACCATTTCAGCAACATCCCCATTCGGAACCTGCACTAATGCTTCTGCGCCCTTCCCATTTTCATCCTGCCACCCTTTGCATCCTCAAAATCTTTCTATCAAACATGATAAGCAGAGCCTACACTCTTATCCTTCTTTCTCTTTCTCTTCTTCTTTTCAACCAATTCCACAACATTCCCATCATGCTTCCTTCCCTTATCAATCTCAAACTGTTTCCCATAATCATTTCCTTTCTCCACCCCCTTGTAACCATCACCATTATCTTCACCTTCATTGTGCCTGTGCTTCTTTTTCTTCTTTTCCTTCTTCTCCTCAACATACCCTCTTTCTCCTACATTGCGTTTCTCATTCTTTTTCTTGTTCTTCTTCTTCTCAACATCCCCCCTTTCACCACATTATTGCAGAGCACTTGGACCACCCACAATCACCTCATTATAGCCACCAAATTCGTTTTCCAGAATTCCTATACCACTTCCCTCGTTCTTCATATCTTTCTTAGGCTCTTTACTACCATCTAATTCACCTAATTTCTGCTTCTTCAGCACAATAATCCCTCTTACCACAATTCTCCTTTTTTTTTCAGTTGCTGCTGCCAAGAAAGTATCAAATAAATGAATCAAGAATAGCAAGTTTTCTACGTTTTACTTTACATATAAACAAATATAGCAGACTAATTCGTCAGCTGAAAAAGCAGGTAAAACCTTAATCATCATTCAACAAAAGAAATGAAATCCAGGAGAAATTACGAAATTCAGACTACAAAATAAAACCCTTTTGGAGATTTGTTCTGGAAAAGATTAATTCAAATCCCAGTTAAATCTTTCACCTAAAAAAGATTGAATCTGCAAAGACAGAAAGAAATTCCAACCTTTGTAGCTTCGATGCTTCTGCCAGAGCGTTGAGGCTTGCAGAAGAGACTGGGAGTGAAAGGTTTTGAGAGTCCCGGGAAAGCCCAACATTTAAAATTTTTTTTTTTTTTTTTTTTTTTTGCGCAGTAGGGTATCTGGGCTCATGGACCGGTAATACCGTACGGCCCAACTAATCCCTACTGCGGGCTGGGAGCGGCTCGCCCCAAGCGTCACCAGCCTCGGTGATGCCGGGATTCGACCCCTGGACGTGGCTCTCCCCCAACTGGGACTACAACCACGGAGCCCAACATTTAAAATTTTATATGGGCATTATTGTGTGTACCATGTTCCCTCGTTCCGCCCATACTTTAACCCAAGTATTCCCATTTGAAAAAAAGAAGGGCAAAATACATTTTATTCCCCTATATTTTAATGATTTTATACATAACCCCCTATAATTTCGAAAGTCATATATGATCCTATTATAGTTTGGATTAAAATGTTAAAGCGATAAAAATGATCATTTGTAATGAAACCTATGAAAGTGTTGAAATTACCCTTTCTTAAAAACTAAAATAGCTGAAATAACCAAAATATATATATATAATGTACATGATATGTTTTACTATAAAACCCCCTTATGGCTTAGTATTTTACCACATAACTCCTTTATAGTTTTCAAAATATATATAATGCCCCGTAGTTAATAAATAATTTTCAACTTTACATAAGGGTACTTTTAATATTTTAGTTGACTCTGTTATGGAATACAAATTTCTTCATTTTGACACTTTTAATCTAAATCATAAAGGGGTTATGTATAGTTTTTAAAATTATATGGGAGATTATATGAAAAAAGCGCTAAATCATAGAAAGGTAAAATGTATTTTGCCCAAAAAAGTGAGAACAAGTATTCGTTCTTGGAAGAAAATTTTGAAATGTCCCTACCATTACTAGTATTACATCAAGGGGATTAGCGGCAGCTATATGGTTGTGACTACATCTTAATGTCTCTAAGTGAATACATTCTACATTAACATTAGTTTCTGGACAAATTAATAATGTTCTTGGGCCATTCTTTCATCTTTTATCTCCAATTGATGTCAAGTTGGATGCTTAATACTTGAGGAATCATGGATGCCAATATTAAAAATGCTTCGATACCTCCTGATCCTGCAACAATTTAACAATGTAGCATACAAGAAGATTGGAAGAAGTAGATCAGACTTATGGCATTGAAATTGAAACCTTCAAACACTTTCTGATATACTCTGAAGTGAATCAAAAGGTGCACTGGGACTTACAATAGTAGCCTTTCTAAGTAGCCATTCTCAACCTTACAACAGTATTCCCTCATCATCCAGAAAAAGGAAGCTGAACTGGATAGGGAGAGTTTATTGCAGGAAACCACTCTATAGATTGATAAAAAGTGACAAAATTTCTGTGTTAAGCAGAATTCATTCACAAGCAACTACGATAACCTGTTTTCCAACGTTGCGACCTCTAAAGAGACCTGCAAGGGCTGCAGGGACACTTTCAAGTCCTTCAGCGATATCTTCCACATATGTTATCTTTTTCTCGCGGATATGAGGCAACATAAGATCCAAAAATTTTGTGTAGAGGGGATAGTATTCAGCGGCAGAACATCCTCGCATGTTTACTCGCTTGTGAATGAGCCACATCAAGTTCTTTACTCCTTCAGGTTCATCAAGATTGTATTGTGAGATCATTCCACAAACAGCAATTCGACCAAACATGTTCATATTTTGAAGGACAGCATCTAGCATCTTTCCACCGACATTTTCAAAGTAGATATCGATTCCATCAGGGAAGTACCTGGTTTGAAACAAAATTGATGATCAATAACTGACACGGTATTCAGTTTACTCTAATGAATGAAGCTAATACTGGCTAAGAAATGTTGAATTCAGTTTACTCTAATGAATGAAGCTAATACTGGCTAAGAAATGTTGAATTCATCTTTCCTTTGCAAGCAGAAACTATTTAGATCAGATCCTTGAGGCTGAATTTTACAAATTTTTTGGTATAGAAACAGAAAATTTGAGTGACATAAGAATTAGTAATTAAGGAAAGAGGAAATGTATAGCAAATCAAGTTCAAACATTTATCTGAAAATCAGCTAGTCCCTGCTTTTCTTATTCTTTTCTGCTTTTGTTGATAGCAGATCTTCAAAAGCTTGCTAACAATATTGGCTTGAGAATACTTGTATAGAAAGCCTAATTAAAGAGTCACAGATTAAGTTAAAAAATTTTGAGTCATGTAACTATAGTCTAGTGAATCATCTTTCTGTAGTTCTGAGGAAAACTTAGACATCAAGTGATTATTCCAAGGAAAAGATAGAATGGAAAAAAGTAGATTACAGACCTTTTTAAAGCAGCATCCAAGTCATGTTCTTCCTTGTAATTGAAAGCATCATCAAAACCAAACTTTTTCTTCAAAAGATCAACCTTGTCAAATAATTAATAGAAGCACATGAAAGTTAGAAATGGACCGTGGCTAAAATCAAGTGAGGTTGAAGTTTTCACAAATTTGTTTTGCTGGGTGAAAAGTGAAAGAGGGGGAGTATGGAGTAGGAAAACAAGATTAAGTTCAAACATTTAGCAGGTAACACAGCAAAGGGACTGCAAATGGTGGCAGACCCCGGTAGCATACCCAAATCAAATAATCGGAATGGTTACAAAAGCCAAATCACACTGGCTAGATTTTCCAAATTCTCATAATCAAACTTTTAGTTGAACTTGATTTCAGAAGATCCAGGCTTTGATCACAAAGTTAAAGGAGAAACTACCAAACTGAGACTACTGACGGCCTGTAGTTAAGAGTAGAAGTAGCAGGCTGCAAATTCAACTCGGTATGAGGTTATAGAAGTTGATAATTGTGCCAAACATTTAACAGAAATTCTTAAAAACAGTTGATATTTCATAGTAGCTGCATCCATGCTAATCATTCAGACATAATGTTTGCCTGAGATCTGAGGCTAAAGCTCATCAATATTTCCTGTACAACTTGGAAGGAGCAAAGCATAGGGGGTGGTCAATTACCTTTTCTTTACTTCCAGCACTTCCAACTACATAGCAGCCTGTCAGCTTTGCAAATTGTCCAACGAGCTGGCCAACTGCACCAGATGCTGCTGAGACAAATACTTTCTCTCCTTTCTTGGGATTACAGACCTCATAAAATCCACCATAGGCAGTAATACCAGCCAAACCTAAACAAAGTGAAATGTTGCAGAAAGTAACAGCGGCAATTATGTCGATGAAGTTTATCTCTCAATAACATAGATGAATAGGATGGGGACTGAAACAACTTTAAGACTAGACTAAATTTCTGATATAAAGCAAAAATTGTGCAGCCAATAGACTGAAAATCATATCATGATTTTTGAGTGTCATGTAAAGCAGTGTAAGGCTGATCATTAGATTCATTGGCATGCATAGGTGAAAATTATCAAACAACTCACAAATTCAGATGCATGAAATTCCTAGAAATACTAGATTGTGGATTTCTTGCTATCAGAGTATACTATAGTTTAAAAAATCAGAGCATTAAATTTTTAAGCTGCAAATTCACTTGTTAACAAATATAGTAGTTATCAATCAAGCATCGAACTTACCAAGAATTCCAGTATAGTAGCTAAGAGGGACATCTGTGTGTTCGATCTTGAAAAGCAAATCAGTTTCTGCAATGAGACTGTATTCCTCCCATCCAGCCAGTCCCCATACCAAGTCATCCTTCTTGAACTTTGGATGGCTTGAATCCACTACTTTAGCTACCACAAACCCGTAAATAGGCTGCAGTTACCCCATTACAAATAGTCAAGTGTCAAAATTTCAAATCTTGAACTCTACAACTACCAACAATCACCATAAATGACAACTTGCACCTGTCAATACTTTCGTTTAATTTTTTGGTTACATATCTTCCTCTCTAGTAGCAGAGTAAGTTGTTTTTTCAACTAAATTTTTGGCATATAAAAGGATCTCATTCTTCAACAAGATTGTAAGCGATTTACCGGGGTTCTAGCTTCTGAGTCCAAAATCAAGAATCTTTCTCAATCTCTGTAAAGAAAGCAAGCAGAGAAAAGGGTATCCATAAGCTAAAATCTTTTAAGTTTGAACATGTTCCGGTTGATTACTAGCTGGATCATGTAACTGACTAACATCTCAAGTAGACAAATATGCCAGCACCTTGCTTTGGACTAACAACATATAAAATCCAATTCAGAGAATTAAAACAAGAGATTAAAGCACAAACAAGAAAAAAAAGGAATGTTTCTACAAGAAATCTGAGAATGTGATCACATACAGAGGCAGGCTTGTAAGCGGGAAACGGGGTTCTACTATTGGGCGCCGGCTTTCGCATTAGACCTCTCATGAAAGGATCACATGACAAGTAGAGGTTCTTAACCAATACCCCACTTGAGTTTTCTGGCACTTTCAAGCTGATGGTATTTTCTGTGCTGATGATCATATCTGATTCTTTCGGGAATCCAGTAACATAGTCTTTCAACAGCACTTGCTTGTTCTTCACTACATCAACCTCTGCTGCCATTGCTGAAATATCA